AACATCATAACGTGAGAAGAACACAGAAGTGGCTCACGGGCCGCATTATAATGTCATATTGTGTATCTATAACTGAACAGACAACGGCAAAATCTTATCTATTTGTATTATTAATAAAAAGATAAGCCTCAAATTAAACAGGTAAACAGCTTACTTTTTATCCACCCAAACATTTGAAAAAGTCGGAATTTTGAAAATATCACGCCTTACCTTAAGTCACGTGCTGTGTTGTGATTGGCTGCACAAAACGGTGACGTAATTCCTTGCGTCCGCCCTCTAATAGATAATGGCTCTCGACCAATGAAAGCGCTTGAATTCTTAACGTTATTATATAATTTAGCATGGCACCTATAGCTAGCTATGGTAACGTTAAGGTTATATCCCCATGATTGGTGCACATGCAAATATGTTTCTCTTTGATCTTGGTCACAATCCTATCCTTAACGCTATTGTGCACGAAACATGGGGAATTACCAGATGAAAACGAGGCCATTGGGGCAAAACAGCTGCATAGTCCATTATTGAATGCGTCATTATGGTCAATTGAATGTGTTCGAGTACAATAATGAGTTTATCAAAGAATTAACATATTATTTCCCGAGGGAAGAGATATTAAGTGTTTTGTTATATAGGAACGAAGAGAAAATCTACATCTACACAAAACAATTGTATTTCATGAATAAAACTCGGTATTGTAAATTATTTTAGCACCAAAAGAACCTGATAAAAAGCGTTTCAGCAGCATTTCTAATTGTTGCATGTTTGGAATTGGAAAAAATTCTTTCTAAACCTTTTACTCAATTTTGATAATTTGGGTACGTAGCCGGTCGGAGCGAACAACAATTTTTCGCTTGTTGCCCGACAGGATACATTACATTTACCTAAATCCACGTGAGCACAAATCAGCCAATCACGTTTAGTTACATATATTATTTAGCTCACTCCCCAACGGGGCTTTTCAATGACCGATTACATCAAGTATTACGCTTACGTATTACCATGGATTGTAAAATAACTGGATAGGAAACTTCCTGACGTCACAGTCTAAACCTAGTTGCAATCTGTGACGTCATGTGTATTACCAAATTTCTCAGCATTTTTGTTGTTTCGCTATATTTTCCGCTTCGAAAGAGTAATATTGAAGCATAAACTGGTCTAATTGCTTTAAAAACATGTCCAAGCCACGACAAAGTATTCAAGGTAAATGTTTTTCGTCTTTGTTTTGTATTTTTTAACATTTGTAGCTACGAAATTGGCGTCGCCAATTTTTACGAAATTTGCGATGCATTTTTCACTGTTTAGTGCTTGAAATATTTGCTAAAATTGACCGGAAATACTTAGAGATTTCATCGTAGAATGGCCTAGTTATATTTATTTGCTCTTTGACTAAAATGTTTAGTTGTATTATCGCTAAACATGCCGTTTTTGAGAATTTGGTTTGCAACTAGGTTTCAACGCCATCATCCCTTTGAAAACATTAGGTCACGTCAGCTTGTTTCCTGTCCCTGTATTTTATTATCCATGGTATTACCTACTTAGCCTAGGCTAATTGGCAATTCCAGCTTTTAATTTATGCGCGAATGGGGTGACGGGAAGTAAGGTATCATATTGCTGATCATACCGAAAAAATGCAGGCAAAAAAAAAGTCAATAAAAACTGCCGAAACAACCGAAGTATTTCAATATTTACAAGTATTAAGCCTGCAGCACACGAGAGCTATCTGCTGAGCAAAAAGTTACTCGTGCCTGTTAGCTCAGCCGATAGCTCACCGTGTGCGGGTACATTTTACTGAGTTTTATGCCTCATGCAACCTTTTCTCGCGTATCAAACATGTTTGATCGGTGAGCTATCGGCTGAGCTAACAGACACGAGTAACTTTTTGCTCAGCAGATAGCTCTCGTGTGCTGCAGGCTTAAGCTATCACTCCGTGTTTACACCAGTGAACTCTACTATATACTGGAACGATAACTGCTGATAAACATGCCCATACTTGCCTGAAGCCAAGATGGCGGAAATTGAAGCTCGTTTTGTAGGTATAAAACACGCGTGATTTTTGCGTGGGCTTGTCACGAGGTTCGGAGCAAGCCGAAAGCGTGTTAAAATATTTTCACAAGTGTGGATTCAAA